AGTACGGAGCAACACGCGCAGGGAGATGCACGAATCGATGCTTTCGCAGCTTGCTGACATCGGGACTGCTGAGGGGAGGTTGACAGACCGTCTCCCAGACGGCGACACGGCCCCTCCCTGACCTGACAGCCATCAACACATCATAACACAGCCGCCATCTCATGAACGAGACGCAGTGGCTGCCATTGATTGGCTGTCTGAATGTGCTGTGTTTGCTTACTCATCCACTGATACGTGACGCCCCCTTTGGCCGTGCCGGCCTCCACCGGCCCCATGGCGGGGGGATTCCCAGGAAGCATCAGACCCGCCTCTCAGACCGGCGCAGCGGCGGGCGGGCTCGGTGAATGAACGGGGGTCGCCCAAAAAAGGATACTCGCGGACAGGGCAAGCAGATCCCGCCTTCCTGATGCACCACGATGTATTGACGGTGGCAAAAAGCCAAAAGATCGAGATGAAGAGGGCCTACAGGGTTTCGCTACAGGGTTTTAAACCCTAGCCCCCAACCCAGAAGGAATCGACCGATTGCCCGATGGCGACGACACACCTCGCAGTCAGGTCTGGCAGTCAGGTCTGAGTCGGTTGACTTGATTTTACCGTACAGCGATGAGTTCTTGGTCGAAGAGCGCGGACAAGACGAAGGAGCTGGTGGGTGCCAGGAGGGGAGGGCAGCGCTGGATCTTTCAGCTCAGAACAGCCAGGTGGACGGTAGAAGACGACGAAGAGCTGGAGGAGCTGGATCCTGACCTCGTAAGTGCGATGCATCTCTGATGGCACTCACTGAAGAGAGGGCGACCAGAAGATGCACTTTGGCTGTCGTCTCTCCGCCAGGTGAGCGGCCTGTATGACGTGGGGACTAACATGCGGTTCCCGAAGGAAGGCCCTGCAGGCACAACGCTTGCTGTCGATATGCCCAGTGAGCCGACGAACAGAGACCATCCATGACCTGTCTGTTTCGCTCTGGGTGCCTTTCTGTGTTGGGTCACGCAGGTGAGAGTGGCAAGAAGGTCGAGTTCAAGTGGACCGGGGCTGAGGGATTCAATCGCAGGCTGAGTCACGGCTTCCACTGTAAGGTGGCGTACAGCAACTCAAGGAAGGCCATCAAGTTTGAGCTCGATGGCAAGACCGTTCTAGACGACCATGAGGTGAGAAGCGAGAAAAGCTGACGCGCCTCGTATGCATATCTCTCTGCTGCACCTCGGGCGTGGCAGGACTTCAGCGTCAGCGGGTATCTATGGCTTGAGATCAACGACAACGGCGACGAGCGCATCCGCGGCCAGGTTGAGTTTTGGCAGGAGCGAGCACTGTCGTATGACCAGTTTGGGCCAGATGATGCGAGAGAGCTGAAAGCACAGTTCAGCATCATGGGCGGCCACCCTGAAGCTGATGCATCTCAGAGTGCGGCATAGAGTGCGCACGCGTGTGTGATTGTAGATAGATGATAGAGGAGTACCTAGTCAGTTTGCCTGGCTCGTTCGGTGTGTGGGTGTATGCGGCGGCCCAGCAGGAAGGGCCGGTGGCACTGGCTGTATCAGATGGGGGCGTTGGGGTGATGGGGCTGGGATGTTCGTGCCTGGGGAGCCTCTCTTTTTCTGAGGGTGCCCCCCTGTGGGTAGCCGTGTGGAGATAGTGTGTGTTGATTGGCCTGGATGTATCCACCGTGCTGGTTGGCTGTCTGTCTGTCAGTCTGCATGTCTGTCCATTGCATTCACGTGGGTTTCTCAGGAGCATCGTTCGTCCATTTGAGTGTCTGTAGCTCGTTTTTTCATCACGATCGACTGTTCATGTTTGTTCGTGCCGTGGACCAACGCGTGCGTGGCCCCCGGCGCATCGTTTCACATCAATCATCATACCTAGTAGTCGGTGCATCGAGACTTGTGTAGTCTTTTCTTGTGTAGTATAGCTGGACTGCACGGCGGACAGCGGATATAGCTAGCACGAAGGTCTAGGGTTTGGGGAAGAATAAGGGAAGGAAAGCAACGTACCGGGAACACGCCACCGGAACCTCGAGGGGCATGCAATACATGAAGCGTCGACAGCCCTTCAAAAGAGCCGTCTATTCCGAGACACAAGACAAGTCAGCATGTACATTAACAACATCATGAACAGACACGAGAGCTGTTTATTCAGACACACAAGACACGCCACTATGTATAACACTACCATCATGGACAGACCCGCGAAAGCAGACACGCACTGCTTCTCTATTCAAGTCA